TAAAACAAGCAAGCTTAGATCCTATATAAAATACCTTTTACTACTAACACCTAAAAGAAGCAAGTGCTATTTTTTCTATTACCTCAGGTCCAGTATTTCCAAGTCCACTTCTTGAAAAGAGGCTTCGCTTAGGGTCTCCAACACATTGTGGGATAGATTCAATAGAGTCAAACAAGGAAATTCAACGAAAGAATAGTCCGCAATGATTGAAATATTATTGTGAGACAACACTAAGGTTTTGAGACTTCTGAGTGGAGATGAAAGTGAAAAGTTTGCAACCCCTGTAATGTGATTAAACGACATGTCAAGTGTTTCCAGTCTTTTCAAGTGTTGTAGGCCTGATAGGTCAACGCCATCAATAATATATATGTATTTATATCCATACCTTTCGTAAATCTTTTTTTCTATCACCGAACAGTTAGAACAAATACTCCCACTGAGACCACAATGGTTAACTACAAGCTTATTTAGGTAATGTTCTTGTCCGCGTAAAGGATTTTCACATAAAAAGCAACCCGATAGCGGAGTATTTCGAATTTCTAACTCTTGGATCCGAGACAGTTTCATCCAGTCTGAAGGAAGCCTGAGGGCGTCATCATATTGGTTTCTATTGTTGTGTGTTCGGACATTAGAAATTATCACCTTGTCTATTAATAGATAACTACTAACACCAGTAAGTTTTTCTAGTTGGTTGTAACATCCCGCACGGTTGCAGACAACAACAGTGAAAGTATTGTGATCCGAGATTGGAACGTTAATACAAAACCACGGATCCATTTCTTCCTCGGAAGGACAATTAGAGCTCGAATTTCCATAATGGATAACAGAGAACACCAGAATAATCAAGTTTATTGTCTTCATGTCCTATAAAAAATATAAGTTTATTATATATATATTGTACGAGTTTCTTAGTAAGACTTAAAAATAAATTGAAATCAACTAGTTAGTATAGGCCTACCTGTGTGGTGAATCTCGTGCAAGCATAACTTAAAGTTACACATGTTAAAATTAATAAATCAAGATTACCATTTCAATAATTTACAGAAACAATATTTGTATAAATCTTTTTTGTAAATCCAGTTTTGTTTTGTTTAGAGAATTATGCTTGTGTTCTTTGTCACTTTTAATTTTTCAGTACAAACTAATTTTTATGTAGAAATTCCAGCTTGAATCTTTATTAATTCTATTCAACAACAAAATAGTCTATTATACAAAATATCCTTGCAAGAACAATATTTATTCGAAAACAAAATATCTTTTCAACAACAATATTTATTCGAAAACAAAATATCCTTTCAACAACAATATTTATTGGAAAACAAAATATCCTTTCAACAACAATATTTATTCGAAAATAAAATATTATATTCAACAACAATATTTATTCGAAAACAAAATATCCTTTCAACAACAATATTTATTCGAAAACAAAATATTATATTCAACAACAATATTTATTCGAAAACAAAATATTATATTCAACAACAATATTTATTCGAAAACAAAATATTATATTCAACAACAATATTTATTCGAAAACAAAATATTATATTCAACAACAATATTTATTCGAAAACAAAGTATTATATTCAACAACAATATTATAATTATTGACTTCATTCTTATAGAAATGAAAAACCTATGGAATCTAATTACAGGGCCTGCTTAAATTATAGCGTCCTCGCGCAGATATAAGTGTCGATTATTTACAGGAGTGCGTTATTAATTAACAACACTATTTATATATTTATAAAAAAATATTTTGAAAGCACATTAACAAACAGGAAGAAAATCCTGTTCTCTTTCATGAACAAATATGTTTTCAGAATTTACTATATTATTCATCAAAATTAGTTAAAATGTAAGTTTACTAGGATTTCTGATTTTTAAATAACGGTTTTTAACACAACGTGAAAAACTTTTTTTATGTTTCTTTTAATGGGTATTTACGACACAAACGTTAATTTTCACAAGATGGTAAGAGTTCGACGAGAAGCATCATTATAGTAATCCAAACACATACAAACTTAAAATGTAACATCGCAACATAAAAAGTTATAACACAGCCCATATCAAAGAAAGGCTATTTTGAAAAATAATGAAAGATAAAATACATAAATCACAGTCATACTCCAGAATATAAATCATCTGGTGGAGCCCCCCAGTGGAACAGCGTTATGTCTGCGGACTTACAACGCTAGAAACCGGGTTTCAATACCCGTGGTGGGCAGAGCACAGATAGCCCTTGTGTAGCTTTGTGCATAATTAAAAAACAAACAAACAAACAAAAATCTGGTGGAGTTTTTTGTACGATTTAATGATAATGCGTGAAACCTAGGAATTTCCTGGGGGCACTGGGAGTTGTTGCTGATAGATTAATGAAACAACGAGTTAATTAATGAGTTTTGTCGTCGATAATAGAGTTAGTGAATGGTATATAATCTTGTTGAGTTTGTGCTACAGTTTTAGCAAAAAAATTAACAACTGCCTGTTATGGTATATTTGAGAGTTAGGCCTTTTAATTGTTACCATTAGTTCATGAAACATGTAAGTTGTGAAAATTGCAGTTGAAGAAGTAAAACGCTTTATTTTTCATTGAGTGAACTGGACTTTGCATTATTTTTATCTAATAATTAAAAAGAATCTGCCAAACAACTGAAACAGTTACAGCAGTATTAATGTCATAATATAATATTTCTAATACTGTATTCTCTACTTTGTCCCTTAAAGATTCTCAAGAATTGGAACAGTATATGATAGCGACATTCCAATTACATTGTATTCGCCATATTCACTGCCTACGACGCGTTTCGCTCAATCCAGAGCTCATCAGGCCGGTTACGACACAACAAACACAGATGGTATTTTTGATTGTATTTTTAGTGTTACTCACGTGTTATTAGCGATCCTGTAAAAACAAAATCATACATTCACAAGCAATTTGGTGCAAAAGTAGTTTAAAAAAATGTATACCTAACCGAGGGGTGATATCGACCCCTTCAGTAATTCTAGAGCAGTGGCATTACTCTGGAGGGGATCAAAGTTGTGTCAGTATATACAACATTCTCTGCACTGTACTTCTAGTATCGTTTGGGAAGAAAACTTCAAGCCTTTTGTATTTTATGGATGAATCTATTATATCCTGCAAAGTCTAACAAATGATGTCCCTGTTCTAGAGTTAGGATATTGTACACAGAAACAAATAGTACTAACTTTATACGACTATTAAGCATTAAACTTCTCAAAATTAACTTGATATATTTTTTCGTTTAACTATCATACTGGTCTATTAAACATCTTCAAGTTAAGCAGATGAGGCCAACCTGATACTCTGATTGATTGTCGTTGTTACTGGATTATTTTTATCAATCCAAATCTAATTTATGTATTTTACGTTGGAATAGGAATTTACAATCGTATACTTACAATTAGTTATGGATTGCTTCGTGACTTGACTCAGTGTTTCTTTCCTCACAACCAGGACCGATATAAAGTGTAAACTAAAATCTTGATAAGGTAGATGTCAACGTTAGTTTTCTTATACTCAGATAAAACTGTAAAACTATTTCAGAAAGTCACGTGACTTAAGCCCAGCGACTTCAGAAAGCCACTTCAATGTAACGATATAGAAAAACAAATGTGGTTTGAATTTATCAGACAAATTTAGATATATATAGTTTGAAATGCACTGTATTTCTCCCATAAGTTTATCAGATTTAGATATATATATATAGTTTGAAATGTACTGTATTTCTCCCATAAGTTTATCAGATTTAGATATATAGTTTGAAATGTACTGTATTTCTCTCATAAGTTTATCAGATTTAGATGTATAGTTTGAAATGTAATGTATTTCTCCCATAAGTTTATCAGATTTAGATATATATAATTTGAAATGTACTGTATTTCTCCCATAAGTTTATCAGATTTAGATATATAGTTTGAAATGTACTGTATTTCTCCTATAGGTTTATCAGATTTAGATATATATAGTTGGAAATGTACTGTATTTCTCATATAAGTTTATCAGATTTAGATATATAGTTTGAAATGTACTGTATTTCTCCCATAAGTTTATCAGATTTAGATATATAGTTTGAAATGTAATGTATTTCTCTCATAAGTTTATCAGATTTAGATGTATAGTTTAAAATGTACTGTATTTCTCTCATAAGTTTATCAGATTTATATATATATAGTTTGAAATGTACTGTATTTCTCCCATAAGTTTATCAGATTTAGATATATATAATTTGAAATGTACTGTATTTCTCCCATAAGTTTATCAGATTTAGATATATATATAGTTTGAAATGTACTGTATTTCTCCCATAAGTTTATCAGATTTAGATATATATATAGTTTGAAAT